CGCCTTGAGATGTTGGTACCAGAGTTGCTCAGATTCAGGATGGCCTTGGTGGCGAATCTTGGTGTTTTTTGTTGTTTTTTTTCCTCACCATATCATTCTCAGTCAGTGCAGGGGTGGCTTTGGGCTTCCTAAATTTTTCTGTGACAATTGTGCACAAAAACATTTGGAGCTGTTCAAATGGTGACAAACTCCCGACCATTGAGTAAACATACTTTGGTCGGGGGTGTGGCTTTAAAGAACAACGATCCAATAACGTGACCAGTACAGAGACACTCCTTTAACCAGTGACAGCATCCTCATTAACTTAATGTGTCACGGACATATAACTCATTACTGCTGTGATTTCTGGTCTTCGATCGCACTCTCAATCTGACCTGTATGATTTTTAATTGGAACAATAAATAATTAGTCCTTTATGTTACAAAGAATGGATAGAATTGATTAAAATATTCCATGCTGCATTTATATTTTCAACGAGTGCTCCGGCGTCCTCCCTCAGTCTGAAGACATGCTGAGATTAACTGGTAAATCTAAACTGTCTGTAGGTGTGAATGTGAGTGTGCCTAGACTGGCGACCTGTCCCGGGTGCCTTCACCCTACGTCAGCTGGGATAGACTCCAGCCCCCATGCTATAGAGGATAAAGTAGTGTATAGACAATGGATGGATGGACTTACATGCTCATTTAGTATAAATCCTGGTGATACTTTGCACTATGGCTACCGCACTTAAAAACCCTTGGATATGACTTTATAGCCTTTCCCCCGGTGAACAACCACAATGATGGACCCTAATAACAAGCTCACTCAGCTCTTTGATTTTAGCCATGACTTGCAGTTGACTAATAACTGACTGCAGAACAACATCAGCTGTTCTCAGTTTATAGTGCATTAGAATGCCCTAAAACATGGTAGAAATTACTAGAACCATTTAAAATGGGAAAGATACTGCATTTTCTCACAAATGCGCAATCTTGAACACAATAACTTCCCATCTTTTGTGACTTGGTCATGACTCTTCTAGCAAGAAGAAACCTGATGGGCAAAAAAAAAATCACTATAAATTAAACTATGACATGGTTATGAATAATTTTGGACTTAACTGTACTTCTTTTTCTCTGACTGTGGGGTCTAATTATAGTCCAATTATGAGCTAAAAGGGCTAAAAAAAATTATTCAAAGAACAGAATTTTCATAATTAAGGGTTCAAAGACCAAGAGCGACTGGTCAGTGTGCTGCACTGGAATCCCTGCTTTCAACAGAGAATGAATGGCTTAAGGGAAAGGGGAGGAAAAAAATGGAAATCAGAGAAAGAAGCTATTCCCTGAAACTGGAGAAGTGTTTGAAAGAGAGAAGAAGACAGCTTGGAAGAGTAAAGGACGATAATGATTAATTCACAAGGTGTTTGAACAATAAAGTGACAGAAGAGCTTTGTTGGTGGCATCTCTATCTGCTTCAACTGTAAATGACGGGTTTTTTTTTTTTAAACTCTTTTATACTTTGACCTTCTGACATTTGGCCTTCAACCAAGCATGCAGCTTAGAGGAACTGTGTGAAGCGAAAACTCAGGGTAAAGGAAGAGGAAACTAATATAAAAATTACCAATTTATGCACTTATATTGAACTAGTCTTATTTGCTTAGCAACTACTCAATTAAATTCACCTTTAAAAACAGTTTGATTGTCAAAATTTAACATCATTTCCAAACTATTGGGTAATCTGTATGTTAATTTGGTAAAAAATTAAAATGCTTATTGCATTACTTTTTATTTTCATTTGTTATGTGCAAGTAGTTGATTTTGATTTCTTCACGCTTGCTTGTGTTTGTATCAAATAAACAAAATATTCATTAAAGTGAAGTCTTTCAGTAACATTTTCTTGAGTAAAGAGTTTATTCCTTCAAGCTCCAAGTGTCTGTCAAAAGTCTGAGTGAAACTACAGATGGTGTTTTTCTAATTCAGGTCTCAAGAATTCAGTTCTTTTTGCGTGTTCATCCAACTCTGAAAATAACTATCCCTAGGAGGCAAAACTATATTTGCAGACTAAATCATTTCCAACAACCACAACAACAGCTCAGTTTCAAAGAGAGCTCTTGTTAACTAGAGAGACTACACTGTTCCTTGGAGTCCGTCCAGCAGGGAGCAGGGTATGTGAGAAACAGCAAGGTTCTGTGAGGTGTATAGTTAGTCACTGGATGACTATCTTCGAATCCCAGACTATTTAAATTCGAGTCTTGTACTATTCACCATTGACAGGCCAATTCTTTTCAACCTCAAAACGAGGACTGGACCGGCCTTCTGTTCAGAGGGTCCCAAGTAACAAGAGAAATGCGCAGCTTTTCTCTTACAGTACTGTCATTGAGTCATAAATTCTACATCAGGGCTGGTCATCAAAGGACTTTCTATCTCTACACAAGAGTCCTTGACACACTTGTGAGAGAAAATGCATAGAATGTGAGAGAAATGTACGATTGAGCCATGAAAGACTGACAGAAGCTGCCTGGAAAGAATAGATCTGTGAGTGTTAACCCTTGGAGAGAGGAAGCATGCGGGCTATCATCACAGAACCCTGGGGCCATTTTGGAAATGTCAGATCAATTCAATGTGTACCGGCTCCCTGCTTCTCCTACTTTGCTCATCAGTGTGTGATCAAAACTCCTGCCGGGACCACAGGTATAAGTGGTTAAAAATAAATAACTTGAATCCTGAATTTTCTGCCTTCCAAAAGGTTGAATTGTTGTTTTATCTGTATGGTCCAGCTGGGTATGCTTTGAGCATCAGGAAAAAAAAGGCATCTGACTAGATTACAAAGCGAATATGCTTTTTAAAAACAAACATTTGTCATCTTGCATACATTTTACTGCCTGTGTGTGTGTCTCTGGGCAGCCAACCAAATCAATTGGTTTCAATGCCGTATTTCATTTCAACAAGTCATTGCTCTGCTCACACACCTGTCTGAGTGCACTGAAGAAACTGAATGGAGACTGGAAGGCTTGTCTGTGCCCAGAGTCTACTGATGTATGTGAGGAGTTTAGGGAACATCAGTAAATTGCAGCTTCAGAAAACAACCCAGGCTACGCTGCATGAGTCTCTGCATGCACATCAGTCACGCCATGCCACCAACCACCACAAGCAAATTCCCAACCTGTGGGAAACATTGAGATGTTATTAAGCAGCCAACATTATCCCCCTACATTTATTGCAGGGAGGGCAACCGAGTCACAGCTAGGAACAGAGCTGTTGCTGCTGGAGCATTGATATTCCAAATCGAAATGCTACAAAAGCCCTTTGTATCTCCACGAAACTCATCCTGCTCTGTGGCAGGTACGTGGCCCTCGGAGCAGCCCTCCTTCCTCCAGCGTTACATCAACAGGCAGCAGCAAAGCGAAGCAGTAAGAAGTCAGAAACGACAACAGAATTTACCAGCGCTTTCAGTCGAACCAAACAAAATCCACCTTTGACGAACTGTAAGTCCCGACATTACCCTTAATTCAAAAGAAACCGGGTTAAATACACAAAACATATCTGCGCCTTTACTACTTACATCATGTGTTAAGAAATGACCGCTATGTGTGTGGGAACGAACAGAGAAGGTAACACTTGTAATGTATTATTCAGCACCAAAAGGCACAGTGAAAAATTGTGGGTACAAATAATTCATGTCCTGGTGCACCTAAAAAAAATAAATACATTTAAAAAGTTGTAAAAAGTTAGTCTGGAGTCGTGAACATGGACTCAGACAATATAGTTCTACAGAGATTTCAAGTGTAATCTGATTACAGAATTCCTGAATCAGACAACAAGAATTAGCAAAATGATCGAGGTCCTCTTCAAAATGCATATATATAATGTTGTTATCTTAAAAATAACTATCAAGGACCACTTCTAGAAGATTTAGCGTTGGTGTCAGCCCCAACAATTCAAAATGAATTGAGGGTTTTCCTCTCGCAACAGATGGCAATATCACTTCATACTAAAGACCTGCCAGGGGTAAATGGGAATATATTTAGAGCTAGGAAATTCAAGCATTTAGGATTGCATTAGGAGCAACAGAAAGTTACCCAACTGCAAAAATAAATCACTACAAGCAAAGTACATTGAAGATGGTGTACTATCTCAGTAGCACAATAATGAACCTATTAGAATTCAATCTGTAAGAGGAAAAGAGTACATTCCTATTTTTTAATTGAATATGTATTCTGTATTTTCTGCGTCTCCAGGCTACACTTCTAACCACAGGCTGACGGTAGCATGAAAAAAATGTTTAAGGACCACATAAAAAACACAATGATTTATTTATTTTTAACCACATAAATAAGATGTCAAATATCTAATAATACACCAAAGCAAATAAAATGATGCAAGGCAGCTGAAACCACACCTAGGTAACGTAATCCAGTTGCACACCAGCAGATTCAGACCTCCAGAGTTGCTGACGTGTGCCATCTACAGGCAAAGAAAACCAACAGTGACTCTAATGCTAACAGTTGTGCCATCTGTACTTATGATAAGTTTATGGCAGCCTTTTCCACAAATGAACCTTCTTTTATTTATTTTATTTTTTTCCCTATACGGACAAAGACAAAAAAGCAAAAGGGAGACACAGACAGTCGGGGTGAGGGGGACTGCAGAGATCTGAGGACCTGAGCAGGTGTTGAACAAAGAGATGGAACACAGACTGAAAAGCCACAGGGGCATGAAAGATGTAGAACCAAAGACAACGGGGTAGTGACCTCTGTAGCACTGCAGACATAGGGACTGCAAGAGGCTGGAGCACAAACTCAGTGGGCGGTGAAGTACATCAAAAGCTGTCCCGACTAAAACAGCATTGATAATACACACTGTGCACATCGCCGTTTGTTTGAGTTCTGTGCATAACGCTAATCCGCACATTGTCAATTATTTCTTCTTTGCTCTGCTGCACCAACACAACTTTATGTTTTTTAATGTATGTATTAATATTTGATATTCAAGTTTATAATAAAGCTTAATAGAGCTGCTCACCTTTGGTACTGACAATCTTGGAGGTGAGCTCCAAACTCTCGATGTCCTCAGATCCAATGTTTTCCAAGGTGATGGTCAGCTTCTGCGTCTCTCCGTTGAAAAGCTGGACGGACACAGTGCTGGACAGCTCCTCTTTGGTCATGGGCTGAGCCGTGTGAGCTGACCTGTGCAAGCAAGTTAACATTAGTTAACAACAGTGAAAAAGGCCCAATCATAGGTGGAATTAGCACAATATTGCAACCTTGTGATATAATAAAACAGTTGGGCTGGGGGGCAGGGTTTGTTCTGTTTTTTTTAAGATTATTTTTTGGCCTTTTTTTTTTTTTTTACCTTTAATATACAAGACAGTGAAGAGAGACAGAGAAACGTGGGAAGAAGAGAGGGGGAAGGACATGCAGTAAATGAGCACTGGCTGGACTCGAACCACGGCATCGGGGACTACAGCCCCCGTACATGGGTCACCGTCTTATCCGGTTGAGCTACCGGGGCACCCCACAAGTCTAAGACAGTTTGAATTTTTAAAACCACTGATGTGGTAGTTTAATCTCTAGCTCGCGTAACATATATCCTAAATTGCATTTGCTAATTGCGTTGTTCCAAGTTGCGGTTTCCATTTGAAATGATGAGCCAGAATAAAGCAAAAAAGGTTTCCTAGCACTGGCCACAAGTGTAATTTCCCACTTTATGTAACGTGTTAGAAGAATGGAAAGGATGCACAGCACTGATGAAGATCTTAATCAGCATGCATTGTGTGTATGCATACAAAAAAAATTCTCATGATAGAAACCAGTTCTCAAGACAGCACTGAACATACAGGCCTCAAGCACACTGTGAATCCACAGTAAATTACACATAGCAGTACACCGCTCCTTCACTGTTCGTTGCAACTTTCAGCCGTGTGTGATGTGGTATTTCTGGCCACACCTGAGCCGGTGAGTTACGGCGTCACACAGCTGCAGAGCTTTAAAGAGCTGCTGCTGTCTGTTCTGTGTCAAGCAATGCAAATACTGAAGCAAAAAAGAATGTGCACTATTATGAAAGACCAACGTGATGCCCTCTGCGACGTCGTCATACCTCATTATGAGGGTTTAAATTGGGCCAGAGCCCACTGGAGCTGAGCTCTGCCTCCTGATATTCAAATCATTGCCTGCTGGAGCTCAACTCTGTCTCCTTCAGTATCACAGCACCACCAACTCACACACAACTCTGAACAAACCGATGCAGATCGTTGCCTTACATACTGTCCCCAAACTGAGAGAGAGGTTGTGCACAATTTGCACCGATGGCACAGCGGAGGTAACTTCATTATTTACATTTTCTGCTTGCAGTATTACTTTTCCCAACAGTTTGGACATATCAGTTTCAGTGTTTTTATGCACAACATGTCGATGTAACGTCTAACATTTCATTTTTCAGGAGCAATATTTCAATTTGATGTACAATATTTGTGTAATATGTGTAATACTAACTTACTACCTGTGAATCAGTGCCATTATCACTTTCTACATTTTTATTCTTGTCCTATTCGACTGTACTTATTCTATTTTTTTCAGTGATGTATTGTACTTATAGCTTATTGCTTTTCTATTCTTTTCTATTTCTCTATTTATTTTTTGAGTCATATCTGGCACAAGTCTTATCTTATCTTGTCTCTTGCATTGTGTCAAAATTGCGAGGCCCACCATCACTACCTGCCTATAATCTTTCTCTGAGCTTGACAGCAAACAGAAGAAAATACTTTTCCTAATGGAACAGTTTAAATGCATTTTGAAAGTTCTAATAAAGATGGAATTCTTTTATTTTTTAAAGCCACAGAGTGAACAATCTAAACAGTGTCGCAAATAACCAGCAAAACATACAGATTCCATGTTAGCAAATGCTACTAATGTTGTTTTAACTCTGCAGGTAAAACAGTCGTATAAAACATTGATGTTCTCTAAAATGAAATGATAGATTAAAGCTAATGTTTAAACTTTATGCTACTGGAAAAAAAAAGGTGAAGCAACAGGTAGTGCAGCTTCGTGCTGTAGAGCTTTGAAGTCACAACTCCAGGTCTACCTGAGGACCCTGTGAGAACACCCAAGAGACCACACATTACACTTTTATTCTATTTGCTTGATGTGTCTGCTACGGTACTCTTCCAGCTCGAAAGAATAAAAAGATTTTCCACATCAAAAGCCACTGAAGTGCTGTACTTACAGGCATGACCTAAATAGTGGATTTTGCAGCAGCTCCGCTGTCAGAGTGATTTACAACACTCCAACAGGCTGTTTTACCTGTTATTTTCTCGTAGTAAATTACCTCATGACTTCCACACTCATGTTTCCTACTATTACTGTGGTGAAAATTTAATTTCCCCTCAAAGGATGTACATGAAAACGAATTCACCTGTTATTCTGATGTTTATGTTGCAAGAGACTGCAGCTACCTGACATCCAAAAACACACTCAACAAGTATTAGCAGCTCTGTGTTTAGTAATGAAGTCAAGATTTCCACTCAGTTTTTTACTTTTATCTTTTGGGCGCATCTGAACAGTCCAAGACCCTGGACAGTGTTGGTATTAAATGTACAATTCTTCCTTGCTAAACATAATTTTTGCTGAATGTCAGTTTAACATTGTGATGCTAACTGTTAATCACCAGTGTCAGCTCGAGTCGCCTCCATATATTTAGTCTCTCATCATTCATTCTGAAAATGTTGTTTCTTTTAGCCACTGGCAAATTACTGGTTCTCATAACAACTGTAATTTCATTTCATTTTGAGTGACTAACATTGTGTCATATACTCATAACCTTCGCTTTTTTTATTTATGTCAGAAAGATTGTTGAGTTAAAAATCTGGTTCATGAATGTTTAAACAGGCATGACACTGAGAGTTTGTATAAAATGATGCCTCCCATGAAGGGATTAACTGGAGTTTCTGTACTCACGAAAAGATTCTGATATATAGGGTTATAGTACATAGAATAACTAAACTTTGGCATGAAGCCTTGTCTTTTTATTCAGAAAAATACTTTAGCATCAGTGCATGCACAAACATTCCACAAGTTAATGTAAACAGACAGAAAAGACAAGGTTTGCATGATTTGTTACATGTTGGGAATTGTTGTCACACAAATAAAAGATTTGTGGGTGAAAGCTGCACTGAACATTTAACCATTTGTTACTTGCCATGCATTGGGGTATCAACGCTATCTAAGCAGAGTGCAGTCCGTGAGTAATGGTGACACTTTTCATTGTTTTGGCTCCGTACTTCAGCAAAATGGATGTGAAATGAAACAATGACTACGAGGCTGAAGTGCTGACTTTCAGCTTTAAGGGTGTATGAGGGTGTTCACATCAATCGTGGGTTGAACAGAGAAGGACTCGCTGCCCTTTTTATATTTTTATGGCCAACCAGCAGAATGTTCTTGACTGTAGAGAATGTGTTTCGCTTGCCGAAGACCAGAGTGAAGCCAAAAACGGTCCTTTAATATGCTCACAAAAGACAATGCAACTACCAACTAATTTGGTTTTGTTCGTCCATCAAAAACATCGTGGGCATCTTAAATTAACCCTCTGAACCACAAAACCTGCAAGAAAGTTTGAAAAGCGTGTTTTCTTTTTAAAAACTGCCAAAATTACACCATTCACCGGAGACAGAAACAGTAAAATTAGCAGGAAAGGTCAAACCTTCAACTTTCTGATCGTCCTTAAAAGAATTTTGTGTGACATGCGATTCTGTCAAGAAAAGCAACCAAATCTAATTTTAAAGTATTATCTTTCATCACGGTCACTTCATTCTACATGGTTCATTTCAAAAATTCACCAAAAATAAACTATTTGCACCAGATCCTGTGAAAAAAAAAGAAACTGAGCTCCCTAACACAACCGACAAGTCATGAATAACTTCGCCGTGACCAACAGTCACATGACAAAAATTCAGTGACTTCTACGTTGAACCGAGGGCTGAGAGAGATACTGAGAGGAAATAAAACACACTTGATCAATAAAAATAAATGTAGCATGGCTCCAAAATGGTATACAGAGGAACAAGTGGTCAGAAAAATCATCCCGCAGTTCGTAAGAATGTAACTGGAGCACAAAATGCCCAGAAACCTGAGTGGGTGTAGAGGGTTGAGCAATACACTTCGTCTAGTCCAGTCTAGCCAGTGTGACTGTCAGCTCATGTGTAGGTATCCTGTTTGTTCCATACCATGAGATTTATGCTCATGTGCATTGGTTCGGCTGCATGCTGCTACAGCCCCGTCTCATCTGTCTGAACAACAACTGGAAGCGTGTCACAAGTGGAGCATCGTCAAGTTGGAAAACACATTTTCTTGGGTTGTTTTTTCTTTTTCTTAAATAAGTGTCTGGAATAATTCAACTCTTTGTGGTTTTCAACTGAACAGCGAACCTCTGGTCATGCATGATGACACAGCATTTCTGACCCGATGTTTACTTCTGGCCGAGTGGGATCTGTGACATTACCCACACAGCAGCAGGACAAGGTCCTGTGTACACTGGCTATTAGATGACAGTCATAGTGTTGTATTGCAGATGTGAGATGTGAGTACACCGTAGAAGAGCAAAGAGTTTCTGACCGTGGCAGTGATGTGCTGAGCTGGAGGCGAGGAAGAGAGGGAATGACCTCCACCAAACAGCCACTGGTCTTCACACCCGTCAGGCCCTCCAGCAGGCAATCACTGGTCACACCAAACACCGACGTGTGGTAACCTGGGTTCAAATGGACAACAGAACGGGCCGCTCAGATGGGAGAACGAAATGACGCGTTGAAGGTCAGTCACTTTTAAAAGCAATTTTAGATTAAACAGTGTATGCAACAAAGATAACAGCAACTTTGACCGGCTCATTATTATGTGCAGCGTCTGAGTCATGGACTGACCGTTGACAGTGATGTTTCCAGCTGTACGTGGGACACCGACCAGGGTAACGGGGTAGAGGCCAGACTCGGCAGGCAGGGACAGCGCAGCAGGCAGAGATTCAAACTCCACTCCAGAGGTCAGCAAACCCTGAAAACAACACAGAGAAAGAATGAGCGGCAAAGTCTGCAGAGGCAACACCAAACTTTCATCAAAAACCTGGCATACAATGGTATGATGTGGTGCAAAACCTCATATTTTTGGTGCATGCTATGCTAACAGGGTTTCCATTTGTTTTTCCCACTGAGTGAAGTGCAGCTGTCTGACTCGGTGTGACGCATGTCTTGAACCGTTTCATGTGATCCATCATCTTAATCTACCCGTGATGCACTGAAGATTAAACCTCTGTCAGCATGGGACGGTCATTTCCATTGAAGAAAATGAATCTCTGTGAGAAACAACCCCTTGAGCCACACATGCCAGAGAGGCTAATGAAAATAAGACCTGCAGATCACAACACAGAAGGAAAACGGATCAGAAAGGTTTCGAATATAGCATTCCAAATTTCCACTGGGTATTACGCAGACCAGAATATCATGTGTCAGTATTTTTTATGCATTATAAAATCTTGCACTGGTTATTCAAAAGGTAATTTTGAGCCCTTGAATGAAAGTGTCTGAAGTGAATTTAAATCAACTCAGAAATGCCAGTTATATAAAAGAATTGCCCAAAGGATAATTCTGGTTTATTACAAGTAGAGATTTTGGAGCTCTGCCATCATTTTTATTAGTTAGGATGACACATATGCACCAAGTAATTACTAAGATCTAAAAAATGCAGATGGATAATGAAGGTTTAGGTCAAGGTAAACTATACGACCAGACAGGTTGTTTCTTGATCTGTCTGACATCCAAATAAATTGGGATAATTTGA